CCGGCCACCCGCGCTCGCCCCCAGCCTCCGCCACCAAAGCGGGCGCACATGAGAAAATAGTTTTATGCACCAAAAAAAACCCCAAAACACCCCAAAAACTAATATAACCAAAAAATAATTGAGCAAAATAATTTAAAATATTTTTTTAAAAATTGGCACCCAGCTTTCGCTATATTTTTTTTTTTTTTCCCCTTGCTGGTTACTCGCTTTGTACAGGAAATTTGAATATCCTGGCAAAGGCCGACTTCCAAGTGCAGCTTCGCTGCGCTCGGTGAGCTGCGGTGATGGGAGCAACGCACGCCGCGCTGGGGGTTTTTCCCGTTTTAATTTATCCGAAACGCCATTAGTTTTCCCCCATGTGCATCAGATACAGAAAGACAATTTTTTTGCGTCTGGAGAGTGAGTTTTCCAAGGTTAAAACGTGAATTGCTCCCCCCACCCCAAAAAAAAAAGAAATAAATTGTGCTTGTGTGTTGTATGCATGTGTAGGTGAGGGACCATCTGCCAAGTTTCATCATCTTCTGCTCTGAAGAAATCCAAAGAACTCCATTGCTCACCATCAACTGCAAAAGTCTGTATTTAGTTAATCCACTTTGGTGGGAAATACAGTAAAACCAAACTGCTAATGCAATAAACATTTATGAAATATAAGAGGGAAGCTTTAAGTAATGCTTCAGGCGAACTGACCCAAATATAAAAAAAAAAAATTAAAATTACTGTGCGCTTGTTATGTTTTGAATTAATGTTCATCTGACAAAAAAAATGTTTTGTGTTTTTTTTTGTTTTTTTTCTGTTCTTAACAAATAAACTTTATAGGAATCGGGCTTCCAGATCTGTCCCTTGTTGTTTAAAACTGGATGAGATGACAATGCAAAAAAATGGAAGTAACAAGAAGCATCATACTTTTCTTCTCCTCAGCAGTGTTGAGAAAAAACTGTGGATCCTGGAATTTTACTGTGGATTTTACTGGTTTTCTGGAGTACTGTAAGTTGAAGTCTTATCCCGCAGGCCTTTGCGAGCACCAGTAGCTCTCTGTCGTATTAATAGCCTCCTCTTGATAAATACAGTTGGTCCTGCTAGTAACAATATCGGGGTCGAGTTTCAGATCGAGTAAAGTTAACGAATTAATTTTTTGCATTATTTGAATTTGCCCTTTGTAGCTGCAGTTTGGTTTTGCATGTTCTGCCCCACCTAAGAGCACATTAACTTCGGGTGGTTTAACGCACGAAAGGTGCGCCGGGCTAAAATTAAAACGTAGGTCTAATGTGGTGTTATTTATATGAAATACATGCTGCTTCCCCGACCTTCTTCTGGGTAAATCAGTGAGAAAAAAATTATTTTTAGTAAAGCCTATGAGAAAGTATCCGCTCGTATAGCTTTGACGTTGCGAACAGGGAGAAAAAGTATTTTATGCGTTTATTTTGTGCCACCCAGGAAGACGTCCTAGCTGGCTAAAGCGCGCGTAGCAGCGATTTTCGGGTGAGGTGTGCGCGCCGAGGAGATGCGCTGTAGCTGCCTGTACAAATGAAAGTAACTTGGCTGCGTGCAGTTCCCACGTCTGACTGTTAGTGCTCTTCAATAGTCAGTTCTCTTCGCGCAGCCCTCGCTTGACTTCAGCAGCCTTGCGAGGCGAGTCGTATCGGAAATGTAATAGCTGGAACCATTTGGTGGTTGTCGATCAAGCATCGGGTCTGATTCCGGCTATTAGCCACATCTGTAAATATTAATACGGGACTTTTGTTTAAATTTCATTGTTCAAAGGGAGGCAGGAATGAAAGTGGTGTGATTTTTCAGACCCAGGCAGATACAAAGTGTTTCGGTGGTGCTGCTCGCCCCCTTATTTTCGTTTTGTTACCGTAATTGTGCCTCGCTAATTAATGTCTGGGACCTTCAGCTGTAACGAGATGATTTATTTTAGTCTTTCTGTAAAATAGTAAATGCCTTTTTTTTTTCTTTGTTTGTTTGTTAATTCTTCTTTCAAATGAGAACAATGACTTCAGGATTTGTTTGTGCGTGTCTCCTGAAAAACTGTTCGATAGCAGAGTTGAGGGTTTTTTTCCTGTGCTTTATATATATATATACACACACATGAAATTCTTAATATTTACTTGTCTTTGAGCTTACCTAGCCCTGAAGTGTGCCAATCAGTGAAGGCTCTGTATGCAAATCTGTCCTGTCATGGGCTCCTATATTTATTTCCTTTCCTCTCCCATGGCGCTCTTTCTCACTTTTTTTCCACCCCACCTCTTTTTTTTTTTCTTTTTTTTTTCTGGTTATAGTGTCAGTGAGGAGGGACTAGGTTGTGTTTTGAGGGGAACCCTATATTTCAGGGTGAATTTGTTTTGGTTTTGCCTGTGTGTTTGGGCTTGGGACGGGGGGGGGTGTCTTTTACTTAATTGCCCAATATACTTTGGCAAGCAGAAGTTGCATTGTTTTGTGAAACTACATTAATGGATTTCTGCATGTTCAAATTCCCCAGTTATTTGGGGGATTTAATTAAACCTCTGTAGGTGGCTGGCTTACGTAGATGACAGGTAGAAGTCTCGATTGCTAGAAATAGCTGGTGTACACACCACAGGCGTGGAGCCTGTGGCAGCAGAAGAGCTGTTGCGATGCTTTTGCATTCAGGTGGAGCTTTTGGGGCAGTTCTCTTGACATTTGGGGCTATCAGTACAGGGGGACACCTCTGTTCCTGGCCATGGTGGGGTGCTGCTCGAAGGTTGGGGGTGCTCCTGGGGTTCTGCCTCCCCCTGGCAGCGAGGGGCTGAGCACCCAACAGTGCCAGCACAAAACCCCCAAATAGCCCCTCTGCATCTTACCTGCTTGTCCTGGGGGTGCTTTATCACCCAAATCAGCATAAATAAGATGTTCCCTTTGCTTCTGGTCTGCCAAGACCAATAGGCTGTTCTTGCTGCTGCTGTTTTAACCCCTTCAGGGAGGAGAGGGGAGCTTGCTGCCGGCCGTGGTTGTGCCCGGTGGCTTTCCCGCTCACTCCCGGAGCTGCCGCTGGTTTTGGCTGGCAGGAGCCACGTTGTCCCCCCTTGCTGTACAGCGCCTGGGTTATGGTCCCAGTTTACCAGTCCACCTTGGGTACCACCGCCCAGAGCCACGCTCCTGCCACAATGGTGCCGGCGGCCCTGGCTGCAGGAACGGGAGAACTGGGAGAGGAGGGATGCGACTGCTCTTTAAGTGCTCCTGCGTAGTCTGCCCTATCTGGAGGTGAAAATTTGAGTTTGGTTTTCCCCCCCGCCCCTCATTTTTAAATTTTTTGCACCCACCCATCCGAGCCGTTGTGGTCTGTGCATGCCTAGGGAGGCGACCCCTCTGAGGCTGCCCGACAGCCCCCGTGTCCCTCCTCCCAAAGCACGGCAGTGCCTCTGCAAGCACCTCCTAAACCCTTCTGTGACCACCTAAACCCTTCTGTGTGTTGCTTTCTAGTTCCCATTGAAACAGCGATTGCCTTCTGTCCAGGGAGAGTCAACGCAGGAGGAGCCGATGTGCCCGCGTTCAGAGGTGAGTTGGGAAGGTAAGCTCATGTGCCCCGCCTGCTCCAAAATACCTGCAACATCTGCATCCCTCTGGATAAATGCAGGTTCCTCTGAAGCATGTATCCCCTTCTTGGGCGCTGCAGGTAACAACACCTCGGAGAGGTTGAGAGAAACTCATATCATCCTGTTCACCTGTCGTCTTTCTGATTTAATATTGAGCATCCAAAGCACACACTAAGTTTGAAAGAAGCAGAAGTGTGAGATGGGGTGATTCAAACACAGAGATATTGCTCAAAATAATTACGCTGTCATGTCATAAACAGGCATATTTTCTCAGATACGTATTTCACTGCCTATCCCAAATTTCCACTTGCCCAATACGCAGTGTGAATGTTGATTTTTCTCTCTGTGCTAGAGAATAAACTCATGGAGGTGTATTGAGCCCTCGCTTTGGAAAGCCCTCCTTGCTGAAGAGGGCTCTTGCCCCCCTTGTCGAAGTAGGCTAAAGACTGGTTTATATAAAAACATTAATTAAAATGTGAACCTCAAACAGAATCAAAATGGATTCTAGAGCTGAGCTTGTTTGCTGTTGCTTTTTTTTTTTTTTTTTTTGAGTCACTTGAAGAGATGAAAGAAATAAGACTACACAGGTACAGTCAAGTAAAACATTGTTACAGAAATAATTAATGGTAAAATTACGTGGGGGCTTGTTTTGTTTTAGCTTGTACAGGTTTAACTTTCTCTGGGTACTTGGCTTTGCAGTAAGTAGCAGTTGCTCGTTAGAGAGTTGGACCCGGTGCTATCGGTATTGAGGACACTGAAGTGGTGAAAAAATACAGCTTTTTTGTTGGCAAATATTTGATTTAAAATTTGCAATAATTTGGCACGGGTCATGAGAGCTTTTGAAATTCCTATTTTTAAGTTTGCTAAACAGGGACTAGGAGGACAAACTGGAACTCGGCTAACCGGCATGTTTAGCGCAAGGGGACGGCACAAGCATTTGAACTAATGGCGTCATTTCTGACATTGTTCAGGTTTTTTTGTGATGCTGCTTTTTAAGAAAATGAATTGAAGGAAGTTGTCACATAACGGGGGAAAAAAAGTCAAAAGGAAACACAAAAAATGTCAGGCTATCTGCACGGCTCCTGTACAGCCCTTGCAGGCTGGCGTGTAAGTGCCTCTGGCAGCTGCGTGCTTCAGAGCTACAGCCTCCTTTCTGCCCTGTGCCGGTGTTTTCTTCTCTGGTACAGGCAGGAGAGGCGGTGAAGTTCCAGGTTATCTTCAATTTCTGGTCGTGTAAGGTTTGACCATTGAAATGGTAAATAATCATAATCGAGTTTTTAAAAAAAAAAAAGTTATATTTTAGATTTCTCAAAAGGCAAAACAAGCAAAATAAAAATATTTTAAGGAAAACTTCAGAGGTTTGAACTGTTGGAATCTGGATTTAAGTGTTAACATTGCGACTCCCGGAAAGTCCTTCATGTTCAGCAGCCCCTAAGAGGAAAGTACAAGGTAACATTTCCCCCGAGACTGTTTGGGAGGGCCGGGAAGGTCTGTGGGATCTGCTGCAAAAGCAGCAGGTCTGCTAGATCTGACAGTGTAGACTTGCTGAGGCCCGAATATTTTTGTGGGTGGGGGGAACAGTTTATTTCCGATTTTGTTTCTGAAACTGGTTTGTTTGCACTGTGTAACTGCTTCTTCTCTTATAGTTACAGACTTTCTGATAGCACCCGTGAAGAAAAAAAGTATGTCCCGTGGTGGTAATGCATGCGTGTTAAATGTCTTCATTGTAGAGTGTTCTTCAGTACCTTATATCATGGTTTAAAAAAAAAATATATATATATTCAAAATACCATTTGGAATGTCAACATTCAGTGGGCTTTGAGGAGATGTAGCAGCACATCATGGTTTGTAGGGACAAGGAGATACAGACCATTCTGGGCTGCCTCATTACCTCAAGGATAAGACAAGAAAGTGAGCTTCTGGTTATCATAGATGTGGAAGCTAACACATTCCCATGTATCTCTTTAGTTCAGTTGAACAGGTATGTGTAGATAAGTTCTCCTGGCGCTTGTGTCCGTGCACATCCTTTGCAGCTACAAATACATTCCCTATGAGTCTGTGTGTGTGCGTGTGTCTCAGCAGGGCTGGCCCTGCAGGCAGGAAGGACTCGTAGCTCCTTTTTGTTCTCCACCATGGGCATGGTGGCCCATGTTGGCTGGAGCGCTGTGCCTTCAGCTGGCGCCTTACCCCCGCACCTATTGCTCTTCGGTCCTTTCCCTGGCAAAGGGTCAGCCGAGGTCCTCTGTTGCCCCGGGGTTTGGGGGGGGAAGGGGGGGTCTTCAGGCCGTGGAGAGGCGCTAGGATGGAGAGCTGTCAGCAGTGCTCTAGCAGCACGTAAATACTGGAGTTTGGGATTGCCTGTTGCTCTCCAGTATTGCATTGCTGCTTTAGTGAGGCTGGAAATCGGTCCCTGCCGCAGGAGCTGGGGCTCTGGCTCTTGGGGTGCCGCCTCGGCACCCCCACGGTGCCTTCCACGCTGCTGCTCGGGGGCTCTCGTCTCCCACACCAATAAACCACTGCGGAGGCAGCAACGAACGAGGGCTTGGTGTCGTTAATGGGGAGGGGGCCGGGGGGGGGGGCTGCACCCTGACACCCCTGTGCTGGTGGGTACCCGATGCCCCAGCCCAGGGATGGAGCAGGCAGAGGGCAGTGCCGCGGCTGGGAGACGGTGCCAAGCCCTTCCCCAGCGTCTCCGGTGGGGTGGGAGGGCATGGGGGGGGGTGAGACACAGTGGCAGTGGGGGCAAGGGGTAATGCTGGCCCCTGGGTGCTTGCCCCTAGCTGCACCCTGCCTCCAGCAGCTGGGGAGGGGGTGTAGGGGGGGTGAGGGTGAGTGGGGCTTCAACTGGGTGGGAAGAAGAAGGGGTCCTTTAGTTGTGCCTGGGGTGCTCTGGGGGAAGCCCTGCCACGGGAGGGATTGCCTTTCCCCGGACCGTGGAGCTTCCCCAGCCCCTGTCAGGGTACCCAGGTCAGACATAGCTGGGGGTGGGGGGAGCTGCCAGCGCTCAGCACCCACACAGCATCTGGCAGTACTTGGGCCATAGTGGGAAGAGTTTGGTGGGTCTGGAGAGCCTGGAGCACCCAAGGGCTTGTCCACAGACCCATCACTGCAGCAGTGAGCTCCTCCAGAGCAAGCCCAGTCCCAAGCTGAAAGGTTTTTCTTTCTTCTGCTCTTAGCATCGCACCGCTTGTGATTTCCCAACCCAGAAGGGAGCAAGGGATAGGGCACAGGAGCCACTGCGGGGTCAGGGATGCTCGTCCTGGGGAGGGCTGGGATGGTGCCTTCCTGGTCAAGCATCCATCCTCTGCGGTGGGAGTGAGGTCCCGTCCTGCTGGTGATGGTGCATCATTAACTGCCCCAGTGCTGCAGTCTCCTGTGGAGCCTTGGTGGCTGTGAATCCCAGAACATTTGGGTTTGTTTTCTTTTTTTCAACTATTTTTAGGAATTAATAAATCATGGTCAATACTTGTGGGGCAGGGGGGTGGCAGGGGAATAGCCTCTTGCTGATTTACAGCTTGATTGCGGCTCCTGGTCTGCGCGGTGAGCATCGGTACCACCAGGAGATCGGCACAAGGGACCCCCCAGCACACAAATGTTTCTGGCACAGGGGAGGTGTAAAAGGCGTGCGTGTGGGTAGGAGCAGTTTTTAAAAGCTTCTGCCCACTAACAGGTCACAGTCACAATATTTGGACACACGACCAACCCATTTTAAATCAGACATCGGTATTCTTTCACTTGTCTCTGTAAAATGGTTTATTCCCGCTTTCTACAAGTCAAGCCCTTCATCGCCATATATAATACTGCTTTCCCTCAGGAAAACAAATTGATGAATAACTTGGTTTACAGGGAAATTGGTCGGTAAGGTGATTAGTTCTGTACTTCTATGCTTTTATTGATTTTACATCAAATTTTTTTAGAAAAGTTTTCTGTTAGCATTTATAGTTGGAGTGCAAGAGTTAAAAATCAGGTTTATTCCTTCTTTTTAGCCCTGTCTGTTGTGGTCAGTTTGATTTTACTCAGCTGAAAAAAAGAGATTTCCACCTCATTCACAAACAGAAGGCTCCTGCTAAAACTGTGCTTTCAGGCTACAGTCTCCTGCCAGGATCAAAACGACTCAACAGTAATAGGAGAGTCAAAGCACTGCGGAGTTTTCGGAGCACCAGGCAAGAATAAAATTTAGAGGCTAAATCAAGCCAATAGGAAAAAAAAACCGATCCCAGGGGAGATGATAGAAAAATGCGCCCGTGGAGGTGGCTGTGCTGCGGGTAAGCAGCACCAAGCTGTGGGAGCGGTCCCTGCCTGAGCCCCCGGCTCGGGGTGATGGATGTGCCGCAGCCGGGGTGCAGGGGTGTCAGGAGCAAGGGCTGGGGGTGCAGCACTGGGGCTTCGCATCTGCCGCAGCGGAGTCCCAGGGTGCCTATTCAGGCAGCGTTTGCTCCCCTTTGCTGCTCCCGGTACCTTGGGAGCGTGTCTCTGCTCTGCTCCAAATATTTCAGGATATTGCCAATTATTAATACAGAAAGCCCAGGGGGTAGAATCCAGCTGTGCTCTTCTCTCTAAGAAGCTGGGGAAGCTCCTGTCATTTTTTTTTTTTTGTTCCTTAAATGTAAGTTTGCTTTCAACGTGTTTGCAGGTTGGCTTCACTACTGCATTTGAGCACAAACCACTCGGGAAAAAAAGCAACAAATGCCCTTGCAGAGCATCCCAGGTCTGACTTCAGTCACCCGGAGACCCTTATCGCACCACGCTGCTGCAAGCACAGCATTGCCGGGGCAGCTCTGTTAAGCGGCGTGCAGCCATGCAAAGGGGCAGCAGCACATGCAAAGCAGCTTGAGCAAGTTTTTCTGTTTGTATAGGATAAAGCAAGATGTATTTTTTTTGTTTAATCGTGAAGCCTGCTGCATCAGAAATTTATGTGACCACCGTGGAGGAGAAGTCTTTGAGCTTCCTCAGTAGTTTTTGGTGTGACTTTATAAACAAGCTGGAAGGCAGCAGTTCCCTGTGGTAGGTAAATACATGCAGCACATCATTACACCGCTGCGTGGCTGCTGGGTTTAGTAGACAGAGACTAGATAAGCTTATTAATTGCACACTTCTACACCAATCTTTTTTTTTTAATTTCACCCAGCTCGAAACCCTCCCACATGCTAAGACTGAGGTTAAGTTACTCTGCTCACAGTACCAGGTACCTCTGTTAGAGAGGCAGTGGTGTGGGAGCCAAATGAGGTGTTGCAGATTCCTGTAAACACTAAAAAAAAGCAACCCCAAACACCACCTTATCTACCTTCAGTGTTTTCCTGCTCACCTCCTTTGATGCAAAAGGAATTTTTGGCAAAGGTTAGCCGCTCATTGTGGTAGCCAGCATTATCTTGCTTTCCTTGCACTTCTTGCCCACCCACCTGATCTGCTTTTCCTCAGCTCACATCCAGCGTGCTCTGAGCCAGGACTGGCTTTTGTAGGTGTTTGCGCAGTGCCCTGCACAACAGCAGCTCCCCGTGTTAGATGTTAATAAGTTCAGGTCTCGCCCTCTGCACTACGGAGGAGAAGAAACACTTTGCATGTCTCGCTCTCTCTTTGCAAGGATAATTCTGGCTAAGTAAGGTGACTCTGTGTGCCCAGCTACGTGGCTGGCTTCAGTGGGAAGCCACCAGTATCTCCGATGCAAAGCTGCACGAAGACAAAAATCTCGGGTTAAATTAAACGTGGCAAGTAGCAGCCACATGGCAAAACAGCAGCCAGCTCACCCGCTCCACCAGCAAGGGTTTGCTAAAGCGTGACTGCGATGACCAGAGCAAACGATGGCGCTGGCGCCCTGATGACTCAGTGGTTCTTGGCAACAAACTCACCAAATGGAAGGAAAATACAAGTTCAAGTCTTTTTTTCATTTCTGAAGCAAAGTGTAAGACATTGCTCTCAGCAATTTCTCATGTGAACCCATCCTTGTGTGGTGTTCAAGTAACAGAATATTGAAGGTTACTCAAAATATGATTCAAGTAGAGCATATATTCATCTATAAACTGCCCAGAGTGAGTTCTCATGCCATATGCTCTGCGAGAGAAAATAGCTTCCTCTACATACTGAAAAGAAATGATTTGAGTGTGGACAAGTGCTCTAGGCAAGGTCTGATGGCAGGCAGGGGACGTGGTGGTGTGGAAGATGCAGCTAGACAAGAGGGGTTTGTGGTTATTCTTTACTAGAAAGCATAAGATGGTTTTCTAATTGCAAGTGTAAGGAGTTTACACCGCAAAAGATATTTCCACCTCGTATTTCGTATTCTCTGATTGCTGTTGGGTACTTTGCATTTTGTGAATGGAAGAGAAAAAATTGACAAGAAAGGAAACCGAGGGGAAAAGATCTGATAAAGGCACTGCAAAGTACATTTAAAAGCACACACGCACACCCCCCCATACCTGCCGCCTCCCTGCCTTAGGGCTGCTTTATCACATTCCAGCTCCTCAGATGGGAAACAGGCAAGCGAAGCATCGGCATCAGCATCCGCATCCGCATCGCTGCTCCGGCGCTCCGGGGGCCCTGCAGGTTACCCGGTAAGCACAGGAAAGGCAGCGCATTTTATCAATACCCAGAAAGCCTTTTCCCAAGGAAAAGGACTTTATCCCTCTCCGAACTGAAGGAGAGCTAAGCCAACACCATAGTGCTGATGCCAAACCCTGCCCCAGCTCGCGGCGGAGGGCTGCCTTCCCGCTGGACGCCGGGGCTCGAGGAGCAAACTCAGCCCCACGGCAGCAGCCGTGGCCGCCACACAACGTACAGGGCATTGGCACGCTCTCCCGTGCAAAATCGATGGGGAGACGTGGTGCTTTCAGTGGCAGGAACAGGTGAAATAAATAGGGTCACTTTGCTGCCGTGAGTAGCAAACTATTGTGGGAGAGCCAAGGGTTTTTTTTTGTCCAAGTCTCTTCCAAAAGCAATTCCGTAGCATTCCCACTGGTGCTCCTGAGATTTCAGGATTATAGATCGTGCATGGACAAGCTACGCAGCTGTAAGAAACCTACCTAACAGAACTGGGACTGGAGCTGGAAATAGATGGTTCCTTATTTAACAGCTGGTCCCTTATTTATACACAGAAACACTATCTATTGGGGTATTTTCCTGACTGCATTTGTGAAGGACAGGGGTGGAGGGCACAGACTGTCCGGGGAAAACCCCCACCTCTAATGCCCAAACTTGTAGCTTACACACACAGCGATTTGCTATAGGCCACCTGGAGATACGCATTAGACACAAGCTGGTTGGTTTGCTTTTTGGTTATAGTAGGGGGAAAATATAAAGATGCCACCAATAATCACTTGTTGGATAAATACCAGCCTCTTACTGGACAGGTCTATCTACCTGCAGCTTGATTTACTCACCATCACAGGCCTCTCCTACCCCATTCTGTTAAGGATTTCCACCTTCAGAGATGTTTCAGTTCACCAGTTGGTGTTTTGCCAGAGGTGAACAGCCTGGAGGAAAGCCTCTACACAGAAGTTATGTTTGCAGCCATTCCAATGTAGCCCCAACACACACCTCACACCAGCCTTTTATCACTTGGCAGTTGCTAACATGATCCCTTTCTCGGCTTCCCTAGGGCTGAAAATCCTCACTGCCAGTTCTTACATTGTGCTGAATCTTTGTGCTTTTCTAGCCCTACCCTCTTCACCTGGGTGTCTGCAATGACTGTGACGTTACTGGGTACTGGTATCTTTACAGAGCTACGAAGAAATTTCCCCATCAGAATAGTCATCAAACTACATCTGAAATTAAATGAATTTAAAATCCTTAAACACTACAAAAAGAAAAAAAAAAAGAAAAAAAAAAGAAAGAAAAAGAAAAAAAAGGCCACTGTGATGTCTCATTTACTTATAAAGGTACTTGCATACAGTTGAGATCTGATCTTGCAAGGTGCAACCTGAACGGGAATTAAAGGGAGTCAGGCACAGCAGAAACAGTCCTTTAATGAATTGTGAGTAACCAGCTCCCTCTAAGTAGTGTCAGATCCTCACTGCTGGATTAGTGCATGCGTGACAGGATTTTTCAAAGCATAATAGACAATGAAACACCACCAACATTTAATGTCAGGATATACAATTACAAGGCAACTTAAAGATCCTCATTTGCCTCAATTTTCAATACCCAGATTCACTCCCCAAGTGAACTGCCAGCTCAGTTCACGCGAAGACTTTTCACCGTTCTCTCTCAGCTCTTTCTAGAGCACTTTAGATTCAAAGCAAGAAGAATAAACACTCCAAACCAGAGCTACACATTTGCGGTACCAACTCAGGCAGCTTCAGTGGTCTGCGGCAGGTCTGCGGCAGGCGAGAATTATCAAAATGTACAGAAATGCCAGACGTCACAGGGTGAGACAGTATAGTAAAGCCTATAAATATTCAAAATTATTTTTCCAGCATACATTTGTGATTCATAAAATGTGGAACTATAATGAATTTCAAATGCCACATAAATGTTCAAAGACGAGATTTTCTCTGTGCTTTCATAATGCTTTAACAATGTATGTCTGGGTTGCACAAAGTTGGCATTTAACTTGCAAAGGTGTGACTAAAACCCCAGACTTTTAACCAAAATTACTGAATAAAAAGCAACAATTACATTTTCAACTTTTTTCAAGTGAGAATTTATCTTCCTGTAGTGCGTGCACAGGTGCTGTAAAAGGCCGCAGTATGTGAGAACTGTTCTAGCAAGGGCAAGAGAGTGGATAACTTTTTCTCTGAACAGTTTTCATAGAGAGTAACAAAAGCTTTTGAACAAGGAACCCCTCTGTGGTGATAAACTTCATCTGACAAGCGCCTACATGAAGGAAGCGCAAAAAAATAAAAGTGCCTGTTCCCCAGCATTTGAAATGTGGGAACATTGAGTAAGATTTTGTGTTTTTTTTAAATAGTGACCTTTCCCATCAGACACAGGCAAGGTTTGTTAGAAGGCAGACCTGGGCCCCTGCAGCATCGCTCCTGGGGTCAGCATAGCTCAAGAGTATCTTCCCAAACCTCTTCTGTGACTACACCACGTGCACATGTCCATGCAGTTCCAACAGACCAGTAATTTCCCCACTTCAGCTACAGCATGGAAGATAAACCCCTTGTTATGACTAACTTAACCTCTCCTCCTTTTCCCAAATCACAGCATTTGAATAACTCCCTTAACCAAGACAGGAAAACATTTCAGGATAGACTAATCAAGGGTCTAGTCCTAAAAGATACTGAACATCATCAATTCTCATTGTTTTCATGTGTAGATAGGTACTTTTAAGCCACCTCGCTAGTGTAATCTCTAGCTGCCATGAATTTATTTTAAAACACATTGTGAAATAGGAACTATTAAGAAGGTTGAAGAAAACGCCACTTTTTAAGATTAGACCTTAAGTTCAACCAGAAGTAATGAGAAGTTGAGTAGATGTAATAATTCTCGAGTGAGTTTATATTTTTCCACGTTGCTTTTGTGTTTCCTCTTCTTGGAGATGCACCATATATTTTTGCAAGAAGTTGTCCCAGGGACAGTACAGGTTCTTGAAAAGGCATACACACAAATGTTATATAGAACATCAAGAAATACAATCAGTCTTTGTAGTGCATTTGGGAAAAAAAGCTCTTTGGAACATTAACTATAACATTGCAAAAGTATAGTATAATCACAACCAGTGTTCTCATATCTGTTAGTGAGAATTTTGATTTACAAATAGATCTCCTACACATTGTGGTCATTCGAGCTAAATTACATTGTGTGAATTACTCGTATTTTAGGTCTGCTACTAACCACTACAGTTGTAACTGAGCACACCATGGACGGACAACAATGCGCAATACTTGGAAAAGTACAGAAACATGACTTATTTTCAAAACCACAGAAAAATCTTTCAAAACAGGCTGGCAAAAACTTTGTTATGTATTAAGCACTGAGCAGCATTAAATCCAAGCATACAGTGGAAGAATCCATGTGCAGAAGTAGAAGAACTGTGTAAGCTAAGGGACCAAAAAGCACGGCCCAAGGACAAGGTGTGAGATGGGCTGCCATGTGTAGAATTAAACTTGACATGAACAGAGGTGTTAATGAAACAAACCCAACTGATTACTTCCAAAATGGTTGCAGGGTTTTTTTCCCCCGCATGTATACATTTAATGAACGTATCATCTCCACTCTTCATTTTTGCCAAAACAGAACAAAGGACAGTACTTAAACCATTGTCTCTGAAACCTACTTTGGTTATAGAATATGCAAGTGTTTCAATATTTTCCCTCAGCATTTTATCATCTCTCTTGTAGATAGGATAATGTTAACCAAAAGCTCTACAAAGATAACAAATGTAGAGTCTGCCTTCACTGTCAGAAACACTTGTGAAAAATATTACTGAGAAGAAAATTTCAAGAGCACTTTAACATACAGAATGAGTGGCATAGATGTATGGGGCTTATTTTAAAGAGACAGCCTTTATTTAAAGTACTTTGTTTTGTAGACCTTATAAAGTAAACATTACAATACTTTTTCACAAATATATTAAAATTGTTTAAATTTAAAGGCAATTCCATTGACTGATGGATATTTTTAAAGAAAAAAAAAACTAACAGAAATAGGCAGCTCAACTAAAACTAGATCTTAAACATTCTGTTTTGTCATTCCATCTCCTCAAAAAAAAAAACAAAAACCAAAAAACAAACAGGTGAGAGAGAGAGAGAGAGAGAGAGAGAGAGACACATTTTTCACCCAGACTTTCTTTACAGCAATAAGGCAACTCCAGGAGATTTGAATGACCTCCTTGGAGATTACAGATACTGTAACTGGCTGCTCCTCATGCTTTATAACACCCAAAGGTGCAACTATCCATTAATCACAATCACATTTGTGCATTAAAATATAAAACTTAAATTACAGATTTTAAAAATATTACTAATAGACTTCCCTATCATAAAATGTTTTACATTTACAGTACTTGAACTATTTCAGTTCTGGGTTGATGAGGTTTAAGCAATTTACCACTGCAAGAGTTAGACTCTGGAGCTCACAAACAGCACAACCCAACCAGGGGCAGCAATAGTCGGTAGAGTCATAGTGCAAATCAAAATAAGGAGTGCAGAATTGCACTAGTTGTTTACATTTCTAAAATATAAATGAACAAGACGAGCTCTTGTATTGTACATGCAATAAATTATAGTAAGCATATGACAATGGGGCTGGGGCATTCTACAATTTTAGCTGGTGTACCAGAGTTGAAGCCTGTGAAAGATAGGACTCGGTAAACAAAACATTTCAAAGCTCTGTTGTCATAGCACTTGAACTATGCTTTCACGCTTTGTACTTCTGCTTCCCCGTCTCGCTGATCACACAGATATGCTGAAACAAAAATAAAATAAAAAGCTTCTGTTAGAGAAGTAAAGTAAGAGATCGATGGTTTACGTCTGTATTCAATAATGTGCTTCCGAAAAAAATACAAGCATGCTATACATGTTTCAGTACAAAAGAATCTTGTGATAATGTTTATGCAGAACAACTTAAGCCTTTTTTTGTCTAAAAAACTCAACATTGCCTTCTTTCTCCTCCCCCTAATTGTCCCACCCAATGTTTGCTGGGTCTGGTGAGACCCAGATGAAGAATTAATAACTTAGAATAAAAAGTGAACCCCTCTTAACTTCCAAGGTCTCTCTTCTCTTACTCTTACGTAACTAAGCAAATGCACTTATTTGTTGCAGACATCTGGTAAGATAAGAAACTTCACATTGTTTCAAAGTTGACAGGAGATGTGTAGCCTCCATTCTTCATGCAGCAAAGTAAATTTTAGTTTCGTAAGAGCTCCAAAACGCTGTCCCGCTGCTCTAGAGTTTGCTCTCATCGTTGCATCACCAACAGAACATATTTGCACATGAGGCATGATTTACAGAGGAGGGAGAGTGATGTGAGGAGACTTCCCTTCCTTCCTCCTCCCTAGTTTTAAATGGACAAAAAACATACGGGAAAAATTACTTACGTTCAAATCTCTAAAGTATTCATTGTAATCTAGGGCGTATCCCACAACAAATTTGTCTGGCACTTCAAATCCAACAACTGAAAAAGACCATAAGTCACCAGTATGTTAGAAAAGAACTTCCTAGAGTTAACTAGACCTTTTTACAGAGGCAATCTGGAATTTTTAGGTATGTAGGCATCCTAACTCATTTTATTTCTTCCACTCAAGTGGAATCTTCCTTCCCTCAGATTAACATTTGAGCTATTTTAAAATTTTAACTTACTTTGTTGATTTAATTTATCAACTAAAGCAAAATTAAACAGATTCATTTATTGGCTCCCACGCAGCAGCATGGTGCTAGCATGCAGTCTGCAAGAAATTAATGGAAACACTTAAACCTACAGACAGGGTATTATTATCAGAATGTAAAATTCCTTGAAAATTTCCTGCAACTTTGTAAATACATACAAGAAGAGCCAATACTTCCCAGGACTTCCTAGATGCTTGACGTGCCAGTGCAAAAGCAGCGGCACTGGTAAGCACAGCACAAGTCACCCTCACAGGATCACTCAAAAGGCGGCACCTCTGGGAGCTGGACCTGCGCCACAGGTAGCGCTGCAGGAAGGGTACCCAAAGGCATAATGAGCAGGCAGGTTCGGTCGTCAGCTCCTTCAAAACTATGGATGTGCAAGTCCAACAGGACTTTCTGTGAAGGGCTGGGAGAGTGTGCACAGAATAATGTGAATATCAGAACTACAGTTATTGCAGGGAAACCAACCCTCCGTCTTTGAGAAACTGCCTAGATGGACTCCATTCTTGTGACTTGCAGGCAATGACCTGCTATGTAGGAATATACTATGACTGCTAAAACACGTCTTAGATGCTGATTCCATGGTGCAGAGAACAGCAAAGAGCACTCTGTTCTTTATGGAGTCACTTGCAGGTTTCAGAAACAGATGGGGGGGTGTGTGTGTGTGTGTGTGTGTGTTTGGTTGTGTTTTTTTCCTCCCAGAGGAGCTGCCTAAGAAGAGAGCATCAGCTATGCCACAGATTGTCTAAACAGCTCTAGCAGGACAGTTCACGGGTGGTCAAGTCGTATCAGTCCAACCTGTCCACACACACTATAAAATGACCAAAAAATATTGAACTATATAAAATACAAAAACTTCCAAATGGCCTTCTCCCCTCACGCTAAAATGAAAGACTCTGAGCACAAGAAAGCTGTGCGTTTTTTCTCTCCCTGGCCACAATGAGGGTCTGTAAGGAAAATAGGGAGATAAACTGTACAATTAAGAGAAAAGGCTATGTGCAGTTTTGGAAAAATTAAGGTGATGTTTAGCATCTACTCAGCATCACAATACAGGGATAAAATGGAGGCCCAGCCATTACTGCCTTGTTATCTCTTCTTTCAGAACTCACGTGTCCTGCACTGAACAGGTTGTCTCTGTGGACAGATGGCAAAACAAGTCATCTGCTGCAAGATGCTCAAAAGGCAGACCATTAACCCAGCTAAGCCTATAATAAGATCTCAGGAATGAGGGGCATCCTTGACTGAGGGGAATGCCTCAATTAAGCTTTAAGGCATTGAAAAACTTCAGTTCCAGAATATTGTACAACCTTGGAAAGCAGGAGGAAGAGGATGCGATTCTGCTGCTAAATTCACTCCACTTCCATAGTGAAAGCACACGGTCCAGATTAACAGGAATTTAGCCTCTGAAATAAGGTTAAAACACATAGGCCTTCCCAAGGCAGGAGGAGCTGTCACTCTGGTACCACTGTCCACTGTGGATGCTACTCCTTTCTTTATGGTCTTGGGACGGACAGACAGGAGAACACAAGAAGGGAGTAATTCAGATGCCTAGACATAACCGGTTTTGTGCCAATTTAGGCATCTTATTAGTGTAAACTTTTATCAGACCTACTACCATGTGTGGTCCTCCTACATTCCTGGGGACATCCAAACGGCATCAGGTGGCTAGGTTTAGGCACCCGAATCACCAAAACTGTTAAAGGTGAATCCAGCAGATTCTGCTGACTAAAGCATTTGACTACATGCAAGCTGGGAGAATTTGCACACAAAAAGGGTGTAACCTGGACCAAAATATCAAAGTTTGCTTTTCATATAGTAACATGTTACAAAAAGTTAAGGAAAAAAAAAAGGATCAGACCAAATCCAGATTAACTCTGTCAAAATACATTCCAAATATTTAAATTCCCTACTAAATAAGAACAAAATCTATCAAGAATCATTAGTGAAAACTTATTTGGAACATCCTTGGACTTTGACCAAAGGGTACACAATACACTGACATGCTTTTAAAAATTAGTAACAGTTGTCAAAAAGTCACTTACAGTCTGGCCGATATCCCACACTTCGAGGAGTTCTTTTTACCAACAAACTGTCAAACAAAACCAATGTAAAACTGAAACATGAAAAAGCACTGGGTACAAATATATGAGACTGTTTTGATGACACACAAGCTGAATTTGGCCTAAATGTGCATAACTGAAATAATAACTACACATTTTAAACTATTATTTTATTTGCAGGTGCAGCTGATCATAATGACAAAATCAAAACTTCCTAGAATCATGAATGGTTTACAGCCTAAAGGATAACTAACAGGTCTACAAGAGAGAGGCTAGGAGATACCGAGCTGGCTGGATTTTCATTGTGAAAAGTGACTTAATGGGGTTTTACATGTGTTAGGAACTTCAGGCACAGTTTAGCTTATAGATAAATAGGTGATGACTTGGTATCTGGCCAGACCAACTGAGCCCTTTTCAAAAGCATTAGTATTATGAAGCAAAAGTTCAGCTGCTTAAATGCAACCTCAACTGCACTTGCACAACGTGTCAACTGTTTTTCACTGGCACTACTAATTACCCTCATAAAGAAAATGTAATTGGTTCTGATTATCAGTTGATACAAAGCAGCTCCACTTTTCCAGAATTAATAGTCAGAGGTGTAAAAAGCATGGAGATATGGAGTTGGGGGTATTGTAGTAGAGAGAAATGCCGTGCTAGCTTAATTTGATTTGCTCATTATTCAGTTTAGCACTTCTACCTCTTGGAAGACAACCCCACAGGTCTGACATTTGTCTGTCTTTGAGATACTTTGGGAGGAAAAGAAAAGGTGGTCAATGGCTGAATATAAAGACAGAGGTCAGCATAACTCTGTGCATTAAGCACAGACCTCCTTCCCTCCTGGATCACCCCTGAAGGTAGGGATTAATTTGTCAGTCACAGTTTCAATTTCAGACAGTTTCTGAAACTTGTGGTTGTAAGACTTAATTTTTGAGAATTGGTGTAGAATTTGATCAAAGAAACCCCAAATCATATTAGCATTAATTCACAACTCCCTGCTACAACTGCTTAATTGTCAGAGAGAAAGAAAGTTTTGAGAAGAAAGAGGAGAGAGGGAAGTGAAGTAACCAAGAACATTACACTTAAGACTACCTAGAATGATCATGTTTACCTGCTCAGGTCTTTGGCAGACCCAAATTACTCAACAGGTTTAAACAATAGCAAACTGGACTTTGCTCATACTATATTATATTCATGATGTACACTGCAGTATTAGGGCACTACTCAGTGGCAAATATTTAAAATTTGTTACACTTAGTCTGGCCAGGGAGAAATCCTCAACAACCTCACCTTCAGCAGGTCACCTCCAGATTATCAGCAAGAAGAGCTCTTCTCATACGTCTAACAACTGCTTTGACATTGTTATGGCAACACAACTGATTAGCTATTACACACAGCTCTGCTTTACCTCTAATCCCCAGCAAACATTATGCTTTTATTGTGAAGTACACAACCATAGCATAGCAGCACAAAAGATGCAATTTAAAAAGTAGGAAGAATGTTGATATTGGTTAATAACATAATATTATCCTCAACATTTCTTGTTAGTTTTAAGTTATTTAATTATAAAATGTTTTAAAACTAATTGATTAAAGATGTAACTAAGTAGAAAAGCCTGGAAGAGCATATGGCTGGGCGACTCTCACATAATGACCTCTAAAGCTCAGCTGCACTGTGCACACTGCACAAACAATAATGTTAGTGTGCAAACTAACTTAATTTTACAATTAAAGAAGAACTCAAACAAGGTCTCCATTGCACAGGTACCCCACTGCAGTATACTGAAGTTGCAGATAGCGCAAGAAGAAACAAACATGTTTGGATAGATACTACACGGATGTAAGTGACAACCACTGTTATTTTTTACCCCCTTCTCTAGTAAAAGTCTACACTTACGACTAAATTTGTGTTGAAAATACCTCTACCAACTTGAGAGGGTATTTTTTTTAAGCCCAAAAGATTTAAATTCTTCCATGTACTTCTAAACCTAACTTGGACTTCAGTGCTAAAACCCCACAAAACTTACCATAATATGATAAGGTAAGAGATGTACCAGGCATGCACAAGCACCAAAATTCTTCCAGCAGTAAGATGGGAAAGAGCGGTGTTTCCACCAGCCTTAACAAATGTATGTTCTCATAACAAGCAAAAGTGCTTTTGGAGTTTAAACAATTACTAAACTCCAACAGATCGCATCATATATGGAAATGTATTCTACACTTTTTTCTTTTTTTTTTTTTCTCCCCACACTGCGTGTCATTCTTAAGGTGATATACAGCACAAATAATCATCATTAAAATTTTACCTGGCTACTTTCACCATCTTTGGATTGTATTGCTTAAGTAGAGACAGCAACGTTTTCATTGTTTTACCAGTATCAATTATATCCTGAAAATAAAAAACTCACGTAAGAAAGAATATTAAACACGTCAGAGTAACATTTTCAAGTTTCTACCACAGAAACTGCTCATCCGCAATAGCATGAAGTTATGCCAAAATACTGTTCACAATCAAATATAGGTGACACGTAACACCATGTTGTGCTTACACAACTATGCTCAGTGAAGTGATCACGCACATCAACCATATAGTTCTTAATTGTTGTGGATAACTATGACTTTGAAAGCCGTTACGGAACTATGACCTTCTTGGCTCCTTTTGGATATTTTATGGCTTGTGCTCCTTGCAGCTAGGAGACAAACAATGTTTAATTCGAATATGAGAAAAGTAACATTAGTCTTGCTGTTGAGCTCAGTTAGAGAGACAGATGTGCATAACAGAAAGAAAAGTAAGATGCGAAAATAGGGAGAACAAGCCATTATTGCAATTAAAGAAAAAGGAGTGTAATTTACATTACATATCCAAGAAACAGCTGAAGAAATTGCCCTGGGAATAGCTGGGTGCAGTTCTAAAGTCTATACTCAAACACACTGAAATGAATTTTGACACACCATTTTAATCCCATCCACTGGACATATAAGCAGAAAAAAGAATATACGGTTTACAACTGAAGCATCAGAAATGGACTCATTTAGACTGAAATAATCACATGATCTTTAGCGGTACAGTCCTTACCCTGGCCTGAAATCAAGTCTATTTGAAGTGAAGAAGGTAGATAACACAGAAGCAGCAATGTCCTGGTTTCAGCTTATTTTCCCATGACTCCCAATTAAAATAAAAATCAAACAAAAAACTCAACAGAGCACCCGTCAGCAATACTGTCTTTAACACTTAATGTTTTTAATCATAGCTATAAACTCAAGAAAAGTTAAAGATATACAGATATCTAGGTAAAAGTTGGCAAATAAACAGAAGTAGCTACTTTGATGCTCTAAAATAAAAATAGGACCTATTCCTGATTTTGTGTTGTGTGATTATCTGTTTACTGGAGGTGAATCTCTATTTTGTTCAGATTTTTTTGCACATTAAAGGGATGCAGTATAGAACAGCCTAGTGCTCTGGTGCACAAGATATTAAACCTACAATAAAATGTGCATTTTTATTGTTTGACAGTTAAAACTGTGATCGGTATAAGGGTTCATATTTGACAGCGTATAAGACAAGTCACTGGATAGATGATTCACTGAACAAAGGAGAAACTAACCTAGTTAGTTGTCTGGGACTTTAAAGACATACATTCATCTGAAATGGAGCAGATACATAATTAAACGCATCTGCCTATCTGAAGCAAAATATACTTCAAAGGACACCACTGGTCACACAGATGACTGCTGTATACATACTATTTTGGTAGGAGTTTTGGAACTGAATGTGCTTCCTGTGGAATAATATAACCTTCTCAAATTAAAAAAAAAACAAAAAAAACATAAAAACCACATTTTATGAGAGGAAACATCCTTCCCTTTGGCTGCTGAATCAGTTGCCATAGCTGTTTCTTTGCTTACAAACAAGCCATTTCCATTATTTGGAGCCTTAAGACATTATTAGATTGCACGTCCATTTTTCCTGTCTACTGCTGCTGCTTCCCTATCCTGAAACTGGCAGTCTTACTCAAGAACATCCTTTGTCAAAGCAACACTTACTATACATAAGCAACGCTGTCCATCAAGAGAGAGGCATAAAAGCAAGAATTAAGCAACCGGTACCTACTAGGAAATCAAACTGAGGTGTACTGTACCTGGTATCATCCAAAGAACCATGACAAGACAGAGGAATGGGAATTTAGCAATTGCAAAATGATCATTAAAAATTAGCATTCTCTATGTCACTATTTTATCAACAAATTACACACAGGGACATTGGGCTTAGATCTGTTTTTCACGTATTTTAGGATATTCCTACTAGGAACTTCTTTCTACCCCTGCAGTTTAACTTCCTAGCTTGCTGTTACAAGCCCAAAACAATAATATGCTTAATATCACTCTGTTCAGGCTGCTTTTTAAAATTAAAATAAAATCATAATAAAAAAAGACATTTTAAAATTGACAGAATCCCAGAAAACTGAAAGCAAATGCAAACAATTTTACATGGGTATCTTCCTTGTTAAATCTGGCAGTTGAATGCAATTTGAGAATTCAAAATACAGATAATTTCAAATTCAGAGCCCACTTGCAAAATTCAAGCCCGGAATCAGAAGCTGGGAGCCTTGAAACCAGAAACTGTAGGTTTTCCGGCTTAAGAACAACTTCTATTAGAACTCTTCTCCCAGTCACACATTAGAACTTCAAGGTGAAACATAATACTTACTTCTACGATCAAAACATTCTGGTGAGAAGAAAAAAAAAAAAAAAAAGAGAGAATCCATTAATACCTACAGAATATGCCATTTCTTATATATATTAATGTCTATTACTTATTAATTTTCATTGCAGTTAAATATTTGTACCACCGTTTATGTATGTTTACGCATGTAACATTCTGTTAACCAAGTAGCTGGCAATGACATTCTCCTCAACGTCTCATGCTGAGTACAAAGCGGTCTTTAAATTATTGAGACTTTGAGAATCCTAGATATATGCAAAAGAGATCAAAACAGAGTCCACACAATTCGTATTCTTCTAAAGCAAAGAGTGTTATACTATAGAGACATGTACAATTCTGTCATACCTACATCCTTTATATTGAACAGTTACATACATGCCTTAAAGATCACATATGTGTAAGGAGAAGGGGAAAGTAATGTGTTCTGACAGAGCAGGAGACACGGATGCTTTAACCCCAGACAGCTGGCTCAATGATCTCCATAGAGTGACTGGAGAAAAGCAGATTCCCAATTTACATTCTCCCATTTCCTTCTCTTGTCACTGCCTGTAACGGGACCCTCCGTTCCTAACCTGGGCTGCACATTTTACATGTCTCGACAGCATGAATTCCCATCACTACTTCAGTGAAAGACCAATACAGCAAGTAAGTAATGCCTCTCTCTTTTAAAGGTAGTTTGCAGACAACCACCCCCACACAATTATTCTTCTCAGGCACTGCAGAAAAACAAATCTCCTAAAACTTTACTGATACTGAAGATGGCAAACAGGTTTTTCTTTGTTAAGTTCAGACTAAACTGATGGCTTTGGTGGGACTTATCCACTCTCCTAGTATACACCGGCAAACATTTAAATGAAACTCCTCCGTTTTCATTTTTTAAAACTATATAATCTTCACACGCTAAAAGAGCAGCCTTAAAACCATGCAGGTATGTGGGTTCTTTAGTGGTATTGTTTGTTTGTTTTTAAACACATAAAGAGCCATACCTTTCCAGTCAAGGTTGAGAGGTCATCTCCACCAATGACTTTTATATCTCCAGTTGACTGATCATTCTAAGAAAGAGAAGGGTGAGCATTAGCATTACCAGAATAAAAATAATTTTTTCTTCCAGTAAATATCAAAACTGCGAAATGCAAAATCAGTGAATGTTAATGCTTTCAGAAACACAGCACCAACAGTGTCTCTCCATCAACTAAGGAATTACAAGTGACCAAATTTAAAGATGGTATTTCAGATTAAAGATTGTTTGACAAGAGAGCTGCATAAATGCAGGCACCATCTCTCATGTGTGACCATCTTATATACATATGTATCTAAAAAGATACAATTTGCTATGCATTCCCTACACATATGGAAATAAGACAAAAAGCACATCAGTTTCCAAGCTGCATGCTGCTATATAGCTGGTAATTTACATTTTAAACTTTAATGCTTTAGAAAGCCTTACTCTTTGAGTAAGAATAAGCAATCATAACAATAGCAAGAACAGCCAGCAAACAAGGCACAGATTAATATTTAGAAATATAAGCTACAAAAATAGCCAGAAAAGCTTATGTTTGCCTAGTTTACAACAAATATTGGTAACAAAGCAAATTACTTCTTATAGTAACTCAACAGCAACATAGGTACACCATCACTACAACACAGCATTTTGCTTCAGTAAAACTAAACTTTGATACAAATGTAAATGAACTGTTATGTAAGAAAGTTAAAAACAGCTGCTAGGAGGGCTTCACAGATCTTTGCAGTTTACTTAAAGTCATTCAACTGACTTTAAACCTTGACAATGTCTCACAGTTCGTATTAGATGAGATATGCTTATTATTGTACTACTTACAGATGACAACATTATCTTACAATTTAATCATTTCAGTCAAAGGGTAACATTGGTTATCAAACTTTATTCTCATAGCTCCTTACCACATATCTTCCTTTTAGAAAAATGGTATTGTTTTGCTGCTGCACCTTGAAGCCCAAGTGTGCTGCACAACTACGCAGACATGCAGCAAAACAGCAGTTCCTTCCCAAAACCCATATATGACAGATGCAATAGAGAGGGGACCACAAGGGAACAGAGAGACAGCCACATACAGCTTCCTGTTTTTACAGCCACATGAAGACAGATATTCGTGCCATATGAATTGTAGGCAAAAACTAAAAATGTTATCATAAAAAAGAGGAAACAAATTATTTAGAGAGGCACATACGAAGTACACAATAAGTAACACTGGGATGATAGTAAAGAGAAAATGTATTAAAATCCTTTGGACAGTGGTGTCAACAGTCTAGGATAAAGAAATGCTGACAGCTTTAGGCATGTAAAAGCAGATGATAAGAGTAACAGATACTTTCCTTTTAAGATTCCTATGACACAACATAAAATAAAGCCAAATACATTATCAGAAAAAGTTTCTTTTCAGTTGTACCCCATGTATTTTAAAGAAAACATTAGTTGGAGTTACACCACTCTGAAATTACACTGAAGGGCTGTGTTTCGTTACTATTAACGAACATTCATTTTTGATAGTCAACTGTTTCAGTGCTTCCATAACTGCAAACAGTAACTAAACCGAACAGCATCAATGCCACTGTGTTAAAAAAGTCCCAAAACAAAGATGTCCAATGATTGCTGCTTGACCCAGTAGATATACACACTGCTACTGAATGCCTGAGATACTGGCTACATCAACCACAAAAATGTGATTCAGTTAAGCACTGTATTCGTAAAGCTAAAGGACATTTCCTGTGTTCACCCTATCTTAAAATTATCTTAAATGACAGCTTCTTTAAGCTTTTCCTTGTTTATGTTACCAGATTCTCTCTTATCTGTTCCTACACTAATAGGTATTTCATCCTCCTTCCATGGAAGGATGTAAAAAAAAAAAATCATTCCTTACAAAACAACGATGGAGAAAGATGTTACAAGTATTTTGTTCCATTAAAATTACATGCACAGATGACAGACTCGTACTGCTCGGCATATGCCTAAGATCAGGTTCCTGATGATCTGCTTGGCTACAAAGCAACACACTATACTCAAACAATAACATCACAAAATTGTAGGTTACTGTAAACCTTCGGATTATGCATATTAAAGTATGGTGATCAGCAGAGAAAAGACAATCTAACCTATAGAAACTTTCCTGCTCCTTCCCACCAAAACCCATACAAATTGCTACACTTTTTAATGCAAACCATAAATCTTCATTGACATATAAACCTGCATTCCTATGCAGGTACTGAGTTCGTGAGCAATTAAAGGATAAAAAAAACAGTTAAAGAATTTCTGACACTGGTTTTAACCAGATTTCCATTGGAAAGAACTTTGTTTAATAATTAAGCAATGTTTTAATTATCTTCAGGAGCATTATTTCTGATTTCAGTACTGTTAAGACTTTAATGCTTTGTGGTTTAACACATAAAGAGTTTTACTGTTTAGATCTGTTTTAACTGCCTCCCCATTGTCACTGCTGGAAAACAATAATGCTTTACAAGATCCTAACTCCTGGCTCAAATGACTTCAAGATCACCTTTTAAAAAGGCCTTTTAAGTTCCTTACAGTATTTGCTCTAAGGCTGGGTTAACAGAGATCTTTCAGAATACTGCCATGACCAGCCTACCCAGAGTTTACCATGTACTCCACTGAAAACCCCTGTTTTCCCAAGTGACAGTGCAACACATCCATTGTCTTTTGGCTGCCCTTCATGACTACAAAAGCAACATTTGCTCATTTCCAAGTTTAAATGCAGGAGACTGGTGAAAAGCCATTCTTCTTGTAGCACAAACAAAATAAACCGTTTGTCAAGAATACTGCGATCTGGGTCTGTTCACAAACACTATCTTTCCATTTCTTAACAGCTTGCCAGATCATTAAAATTCATCTGTAAGGACTCGGAAAGCTGGAGTTACGAGCAAAGTTTAATCGCAGCTTGATCACGTCAGTATTCTTAGAGAATTATTTTTGGGTGCAGAACAGTACGAACTTTGCATTGCAACACAAAAAACAACCCATATGCTTGTAAATATTAAATGATCGGTCTGAAACAAGAACAGAACCTCAATTACATCAATTTCAGAACCATTACACAAGTTCAGCTGCTTTGTTTATGCAGTCACGGTATTTTTAACATCTTTTATCCAGTCTGTAAAGGCAGGCAGCATGATCTAGTAATCTCATCCAAAGACAGCAACAAGAGAGCTAGCTCCACTTTCGACTGTCCATTACAGTTTGTGATGGTTTTCACATCACTAAACGCAGTAAAGCATCAAAATCCATCTAGTAAAGCACAGATAAAAACTACAGAGCAGATTTAGCATGCTGACACTATTAATGATGGAAGACCTAGTCAATCTGTTACATACATGTTCATGTTAAGACAATCTTATCCAGTCTATCAAATTACGCAATCTAAAGGACGTAAGTCTGGATATTAATTACCACCTAAGAGAGTCCACAGAAATGAAATGCGTATAAATACTGTAGTGGAGGCATCAGGTAACAGGAGCTCCTCACTTATCTAGAACAAGAAAACATTCTTTTATAGAACTGGCTGACAAAAACCCTGAAGCCAACACCTCAAGTAAAACATTCTGCTCAGACAGCTTTCTGTCTAAATTTCTCCACTTTTGTCTTCATCTACTCATTTTTACTACAAAACCAGGCTTTTAATTTCCATAAAACTTATTTTGTTGCTCACTCCCCTATTAATATCAAGGCACTGTAGTCCTGGGGAGTAATAAACAAAAGCAACTGTAGCAAAGAAACGAACCAAAGCATGCCTAACACACCAGTGTGAGCAAAGAAAACAAACATACAATAAGGCAGCCTTGCTTCTTAACAGAGGGTTTTTTTCAGGTGTTTCAAACCATTTCTCCAATAGTTTTTTCCAAGTTAGTCAGGAAGCGGAGAGAGTGAAAGGGTGCAGTCTTTGTATTGTTTTTTAAACAAGCCAAGTAAGTTATTGGAAGTCTTCCTTGAAGAAAACAGAAGATACACAATTTATTTCCTCACAAAAAAGGAAGGTGGGAGTCATCATTTCCCATTCTTTAACATATTATCCTGTAATAGAGACATTCAGCTTTCTGTTGTGGCTTTTACAGGCAGAACATACAGGCATGTGGTAGCTTAGTGGTTAAGCGAACCAGCAGCAGGAGCCCCGAATCTTTCGGGGGGGGAGGGAGCAGAAGGAAAGGGCGTCAAACAGCTCTCACCCACTGATCTAAATATGGTGCACAAGCACAGGGAGTGCCTTGTGAGATACAACCAAAGGCTGGCACGAACCTTTCTGCCCAGCCATGCCTTCTCATTGAAGAGCATAGCTAAATTACTGCCTCGCGTTCAGCAAACGTGAACGTGGTTTCCAGGTAACCCCTGGACGGCCAGCCGTGTCTATGCCTCGGGCAGCCAGGGCTGCTCGTCCTGCAAACGGACTTGACCGAAGTCCCACGCAGTTCTGGGCTTCGCTGTGAAATGATAACAGATCACTCAACAGCAATCATAAATTTATCAAGTTCTTCGACAGTCCAAACTAAGTCTGCAAATAACTCCATCTCTAGTTTCACAGTTTAATGAAATGAAGGATGAGGCTGAGTTTCCAATTTAGTAATCTCTATTTTTTTCTACTGTAATAGGCACTCGTCTACAACTGCGACAAGTAGCCTATACTCCTGACCTGAATGCAAAGTTGCTGAGACAAAACTAACAGCATAACCTTACAAAACAATTTATTCAAACACTCTAAACTGAAACAAAAAAAATCAATTATTTCCATGCTACAGATGGTCTTATGGAACAAATCATAAATACCATCCTGAAAACCCGAGACTAGGCTGTCGGTAAGTCAGGAAGCATACAGTACTAACATACATCTGCTTCTTCCTTTGACCTGCACAACATAACCTCATGCTTCCTTCTATAAAACTTACACTTTACCGCATGTTACAGAATGTTCAATTTCCCTATAAAGTTAAACCCTTGTGTTCAGAATGAAAATAAATTATTTTCCAAAAATGTAAACCCAAGGCAACCTGTGCCTAGTCTTGAAAAGGTAGTTCCATATTCAGTGGACACTAATCATAAATCTAGGTTTATGAATCTAGTACTTCCTCAAGGCCAAATACAACTAATTTTGTTCATTGTTTGGTTGCGCCAAACAACAGATGAGATAGGGAACTCAGGTATAACAGTTTTTGCAGCTTTCAAGTCTTCCTGTGCAATGAATGATGTCTAAGCCACATAAAAATTCCTAGAATTAAATTTTTGTAACCATAGTTGCAGGAGAATCCTCTCTATTATTCTAGAGTCACAGCTTTAGAGATGGGATAGTGGGCGGAGAGGAAATTGTTTAACCAGTAAAGGACATGGAAAGGGTCTCTGCTCTGCATAAGGATTTTACCAGGCTGTGGAGATACCAAGGTCTAAAAGAAAACAGATTATACAGTAAGGTAGAGAAAGCGTAACTTAGCTTGTGACTCTTAATTCCCTAAATTATTTGTTTAATATTAGCACATTCTAGCAGTAACAGTATTAAGCCACCTCTGTTAATAATTTGAAGTTAGTCAAATTTATACAAAAATTGCACAGTACTGCAGAGATACTTACACAATAACTCTTCAACCTAATGAAGTCGACAGTCATGGGAATAGATTTGTCACTGTTTCTGTTCAGTGCTTTGATGTAGTCTAATAAATCAGCAAAAAATTTATAGCCGCCCTTGAGTACACAGAGTGCTACAATGTGGTGTCCTCCCATGCCCTTCATAATTTCTCGTGCCAGTCTCTCCGTCCTGTACAAAACCAAGAAAGAGTTTAGCTGTCATAACACATTTCATTTGCTTACTATAGCAGCAGCATTTTATACTGCTAAGAGTAGCAAACACATGCACCAAACTTGGAAACACATTTTGCTCAGACACATTTGCCTACCACTTCAGTCACTTTTACACGTTATTGGTGAACAAAGTTTTGCTTTTCAAGGTTAATCTACAAGTAGCACTGCCAAATGCCTTTGTTTTCATACGTCACACTCAGCCAAAGCAAATCTTAACACCCTGAAGCTGTTTCACTGTCAGATATGCGACATGAAGGTGTGTTTTCTCCTTCCAAAGACACGTTCAGCTTCCATGCAAAGAGCAACATAAGCTAACACAACGAAAAAGGCAGTAGCCCTCACTAACTGAGGAGCAAGAAAATTCTCAAACTGTAAACTAAAGAGTTTATTTGCCAAGCTAGAATGCCAGAAATTTGTCCTAACTGCAAAATACAATAGCAATGAAGCAGAACAAGAGAACACTGCACCGTTTTTCTGCAATCATTGTTTCTAAATTTATTTTAGAAAGCATGGTATGTATTTATTGTGTGCCAGCTGACAGCAGGTTTCTCAGAGAAAGCCTACCATTATAAACGTTACGTCAATTACTAAATGACATGTACTTCGTCCAATTTTTTCCTCCATATGGAATTCAAGTGCAAAGTTTTTACAATATTTAAAAAAACTAATTTATAGGAATGTTTATTATATCTAATCAAACAGGACCACGTAAAATCTAGATGCATTTCTATTCACAGGATCTCCAGGAAGATCCACCCAGCACCACTCTTAACAAGGCGTGTGTCTCCAGCAACTGCTTCACTGAATTTGTTGTTCGTTCTCTTAAAGAGAATTAGCAACTATCAAACACAAAGTAAAACAAAAATGCCTTGTAGGCTTATGCACCCATTTCTGATCACACGAGGTTAAAACTTCCACAGAACGTTACAAATTTCAGCAACCACAAAAGTGACAGATTGATATTTGCAGAGGCTAATGTCTTTCCCAGAAGGTCAGAGAAAGTTGGATATTACTTATCTACCATACGAACATGACAAAGTCTAAGATTATGTGATTAATAATGTACTGGTATTAATATCCTAAGGATACTCAAGAGACTGTAATTGTTTTCAGACCGAACTGGCACAACAAATAACATCTTCTAATTAGGTTTTAAGAAGGTAAAACATCAAATAAACACTGGAAAGAAAGTTGTACATTGCTACATACCACAAAATTTTGCTTGAGAATTATGACAAATTTCCAAACAACAGCATAACTGCAAACGTACAAACTCTTTGAAGCCAAACAAGAAAGAGTTAATTAGCACTTGTACTTCTTAGCCTCTAATTAAATGTAATCTATTTAGACAGTCACCAGGCAGCAAAACTATCACTGGAAGATCGTTTATTCCAGCGTCATGGAATCAGCTGGAGCAGCGTACTGTCTGAAGTCAAACAAACCTGTCCATGATGAGCCCATGAGGAATATAGACTTTTTCCAAATCATCTGCATAATGTTTAGGTATGCAGAACAAGTCCAGGTCGTAACCTTGTTCATCATCGCCAATCTGAAAAGGAAATAAGGTGAAATTTCTACAAAGCCTTATAGAAAGTCTATGGTGAGGAACTGCAAGTCCTTTGCTTTATTCAGTAAACTATCAAAACCATCATGCTCATCAGGATCACCGTACTTTCCCTCTCTATAAAAACATTAGTCACACTGAACACAGTGTAAAGTGTAATCTAACAGAACCTACAGTTCACAGGAGTAAATACCACGGGCCGTTGCGCAACACAACATGGGGAAAAAATTAAGTCCTAACAACATTCTCCTACATCGGAGAGCAGGAAAATGAAGCTACTACACCTCAATGAATCTCTTTATTCCATTAAAAAAATAACCCAGGAGCTTTTTAACACCTTTGATTTTCCTAGTGTAACGCAAAACCTGCATTTACAAGTAAGCAAGCTGAGGTTTTGACATGGACGTCTTCCAAATCTCCACAACACCAAATCACAACAAAACACACGAGCCAGTTTTCAGGACAAGACAAGACAGCTACAGGAGCATGACAAGTTGTGCTGCTGTGAAGCAAGCCTTCTCAGACCACCATCTGCAAACCATGCAGGTTCAAGATCTTTCAGAATCTGAAATGAAAGCCCTAATTCAGCAACCTGATCCGCATGGGCAAATTCCCTGTATGAAGCAGCCTGCAATACTAGCAAGTGTATATTAATTAGGACAAAGGATTAGCATATGTATATAATTATACCAAACGCTGCTGAGGTTCAGGGCATATTGTCACGACAGCATCAAAAATAGCCTTCCCTGAACCTTAACCCTGCTGCAACTTGAAAATGACTGTGTTTTATTAATTAATTCACTCTCTGGTTATGCAGGTGAATGCTATTACATGTAAAATGAAGTTATGAATTTCAGAGGGAAAACCGAAGCTTCTTACTGACAGTTCACCAGGGCAGGCATTTTAAGTATCCATTTTGGCTACCGCTGCCCTTGCGGGACACAATCTTATTTTGGTGCCCAAGGAAGCACTTACCCGGCCTGCGATCGGCCAACTGTTTACACAGGTTTTTTTGTTGTGTAAACCCTAATGAGTCTTTCACGTGGGGAACTTCATGGGTATTTTACCCTCCCATCCAAAACAGACCCTGTTTGAGCTACCCAGGCACCGAGTCCCTGACCAGGGTCCCTCCGATCGGGAGCAGGCTGTTATTTTAAGCAGTAAGACAGGCCCCTCCCAAAACACATGGTATTTTCCTGTGGTTCAGACCCATCGTTCTATCTAGCGTTGTCTGCTAGACCTTCCTTGCTGCATCTGGTAGGGAAGGGGCCGTTCCTACAGACTTTATCAGGTTTTGTACTGACTGCAGGGATTTACAGTCGCAACCTTGCGGCCGGCACAAGCCCTCAGCCAGAAGACACCACGTGTATTTCATGAGCACCCGGCGCTGGCTTTCAAAAAAAAAAAAAAAAAAAAAAAACAAAGAAC